GACGCGAGCAGTGCAGTAGAATGTAATGATGTGGCGAGGCAGCCGAATACGGACGCGTCAAGTGGAGAATCAAGGTCGAGGTGATTATAGAGTGAACATATGAACTGAACTGTGTATGGATGGTGCTTTCGCGTTTCGAGGCAGATGGATGAGGTTCTCTGTGGCTTTGAGAAGGGCGTCGATTTGTGCATCATCGGGAGATCACGATGCGGGGACGTTTCGAAACAGTTTGGCCAGACAAGATTCATCAGATGCGGCAGAGAGTCCTCACAGCCCATGCCCGCGACCCCCAGAGCGGTGTGCTTCACGATGACGCTAGCAATTTGACGGCGAACAAGATCACGGTCCGTTAGAGCATCTTCGAGCAAGGTAACCACCAAATCGCAGTAGTACGCCGACTGGGGGTCAATATATTCGAAGACGAATGTGAGGGACTTTAGACAGTCGGTGCGTACATTAAGCTTGGCAGTCCGGTATTCATTCAGAATGGCAGGGATACATGTGAAGGGACCGCACGTCTCAGCGACGATGGCGATAGCAATCGTGCTACAGACTCGACTTTGACGTTCTTGCACCCGCGAATCGGTAAGGAGAGTCAAAAGGACAACTTGAGGGCCCGAGGACTTCGCGATATAACTGAAGGGGTTGACAGGTGTACGTCGAATACCTTTTTTGTGTGCCTCCAGCAAATCCGGCAGCTCGAAGCCAATGCGCATTCGCTCTCGCGTCGGCGCGAGTTCTGCTCCACGATCGGCAATACGATCGATCAAGTTCGTAGAGGCCTCCTGCATGCTTTTGTGACGATTATGGAGGATAAGCGTCGTTCGGGGCAAAAGATCCTTGACCGGCGGATTCATTGAGAGTGTCGGGATATTCTTCACCGAGCTGCTCCGACAGAGCCGGGCCCAGCGTGCTGACAAGTTGAACTTCCCCACACTGCTTGAACACGACAGCCAGCCTAGTTGTGAGATCTGCGGCCTGCTGTCAGACCTTTGCGCTCTTATTGTTGAGCTGCCAGAGAACGCTAGAGACGATCTGCGTGAGGTATGGCTTGACACGAATGCCAAGAGCATTGATGACCGTGTCGAAAGTTCGAAACCATCACGCATGACTTGATCCTCTGTAGTCTGTCCCTGGGAGGAATAGATAATGCCGCCGACGACACGAACCTCGAGCCGCTCGTCGTTATCTGAAGCACCGAGCATGGTGGCAACTTACTGGTACGGGTCAGCTTTGTCCTTCAAGGCATTAAAACGATCTTGGCTGCTCCGGCCTTCGGTGCAAGCTCGACGGCCATTGAATGTGGAACAGAAAGATTGGAGAGGTTATGAAGTGGCGATGGGGTATGGAAGTCAAGAAAGGAAGTATTCGATGAAAGACGACATGGCGGAGTTGTGAGTGCAAAGGTAGGAATGACTTCAGAAGATGACACCTCCTGAAGGGTGGGATTGACCGACGGCGGCGTTCCCGGAGGAGTGAAAGAGGGTGGTGTGGTCAGCTGTTCAACCAGGGGGGTCTTTAATGGAGTATCTGGAGTACGAGGTCGGAACGGATGAGGTAGTTGAAGTCGAGGTAAGAGCTCTGCAAAGGCATGTGTTGACGTACGTGTTGGCGTTGGCGGTGATGTCAGATTTAGTAGGTGCAGGCTGCTGTGGCCGGTAATGGCGCGAGTCACTCATGAGGATATCTTATGTTTATTTAAATGAAGGGGGGGCAGTGGAAACAATGGTGGAGCCATCTTGCAGGAAGTTGCTGTTGTCGTTGCCATCGCCGTTACTCTCAGCGGTAGGGTAGTCGTCGTGCTACATAGCGAAGTAGAGCAAGCAGACTTAGAATTGAAAATCATTAACTTGTGTAACGTGACACGTCACCGCTGAAGGTGAACTGCATGTTGCTGGGATGGGCGTTCTGTGACGTCTGTAGGGTCTGTTGGCACTGTGGTGCCTGGCGTTCTGGGTCTGTAGTGGTCTGTAGCACTGTAGTGCCTGGCGCATTGGAGGACTGCGGGTCCTGGAGTCCCAGGGTGCTCCCTGGGAGCCCTGGGACTCTGGAGCCGAAACGGTAGTTTCTGATGAAGCTGGCATCGGTGGCAGAGTGGTCTTCGCTAATGTGGACGACGAGTCCCAGGTATTGAGATGGGTGGGGGGGAATGGTTCTATAAGCCTCTGCCACCTCGCGGGTTGCCCCTTGTGATCTTGGGGGTAAGTGCCACATGAGCAAGCATTAGGACTGGTCACCATAACCATATACGGTTATGGCCGTACAATTTACGGTGACCTTGCAGGTATTGCCCGTACCGTACCGTATGACATACGGTGCACTCAATATCTTCGACAGTACGGTGCGGGTCACTGTACGGTCATACGACCGGCTTATATGGTCATACAGAGATGAGAAAATACTGAATTACACTAGCCAGTGGTACAAGAAGATGAATACGAGTGAATCAGACACCCGAGACAAGACCTTCATAACGGCAATACGAGCGAGGTGCAGCTATTGCTTTGCCGACGTCAATGTCCTAATAGTGTAAGGTTGGAGACTGGCTCGCCGAAGGGAAATAGTATCATGGCCGCCCGAAAAATCGTCCTGGAATCACGGGACAATTTGGTAGGGAAATATCTCCGGATGAATTATGAGGCCGGTAGAGAACTTCGGAACAACTTGGATCCCCTCGCCGTGCTCATCGAGAATTTTCTGAACCGAAAAGGTGGCAAGAAAGATCCGACGACCCCAACCGAAGCTCAAAGGCATTGCGTCATTCGTCAATGACCTATCTTCATGGAGGAATTTTTCCAGCTTGAATTCATCAGGATTGTTTGTCGTGTGTTATCGCCCTAAATGCTGTATCAGTCTGGAAACTTCTCTAGAACAGTCTTTGGGACTTAACAGGGCTGCAATCTTTGGGAGTTGACGAGACGACCTTCAAGTTACATTCCTTCAACAGGACGTGTAGGAGCTTGCTTTTGCACTTGTGGACGTTGTGTGCGAAGCGGCCGAGACGGAGAGCGCAGGCATGTAGTCCGGTTGATGCTGCGCTGCTCTGAAAAGGCTGCCGGTCCTGAGAGGGATGCTTGAACTCATGTCGAGGTCGTTGGTGATTGGGAGATGAGGTGGAGGAGGAAGGCGTCTTGCTGTATTGTGGACAGGGGAGTGTGAGCAAGAGCGAGTTAGATGAACTCAGCCTTTGGTTTGGAAGTGGGAAGCAGAAGAGAGGGAGCAAGAGCGGAAGTGGAAGCGGAAGCAGAAGCATGGGTAGAGGCAGAAGTGGAAGTGGAAGCATGGGTGGTAGCAGAAGTGGAAGCGGAAGCATGGGTAGTAGCGGAAGCGGAAGCATGGGTGGTAACAGAAGCGGAAGCATGGGTGGTAACAGAAGCGGAAGCATGAGTGGTAGCGGAAGTGGAAGTGGAAGCGGAAGCATGAGAGCAAGATAGGGTTATGTTAAACTGTCGCGGTGTGTTTTATTCTAGATCTCTCTAGCCAAGTTCTTCAGCAGTGAGGTTGAAGACACTGATGTCGAAGGCAGAGCAACAGAGTCTTCGACATAGTTCAATGTACTCAAATGACTTGAGTTTGTGGATGGCATATTGGGATGGACGATGGGTGAGGGTGTCGCTAACAGATGTTCCTGATTTTCAGCTTCTTGCTCAAGGAGAAGCCATTCTCTGCTTCCTCTGGTGCTATCCAATTATCTTTGTTGACTTGTTGGTTACAGGCTGTGATGCGCATATCTCTGTGTTTCTGATGATGCAATTCCTTAAGGCTTCGAGAGTGGAGGACGCGAAGTCAGGTTCAATTTCTAGCACGGGGTTTGAGTCAACGTGGGCCATGCCGGAGGAAAACGATGAGGTGAGATAGGTTGAGAGATTAAGATGATATTGTGTAATTCTGAGACAGGAAGAAGGAAAAGAGAGACAGAGAAAAGAAAAGAGCTCGACGACGGATGCGTCGAAGATCTTACTAGTGGAGGAGCGGAAAC